TTTTGCCCATTTAGTATGATATTGGCTGTGGGTTTGTCATAAATAACTCTTATTGTTTTGAGATACATTCCATCAGTACCTAGTTTATTGAGAGTTTTTAGTATAAAGGTGCCTTTTTCTCTCTCTCTCTTTTTTTTTTTTTTTTTTTTTTTTTTTGAGACAGGGTCTCCCTCTTTCATCCAGCTGGAATGCAGTGGCACAATCATGGCTCATTGAAACCTCAAACTCTTGGGCCTAAGCGATCCTCTCAGCTCGACCTCCTGAGTTGCTGGGATTACAGGCATATACCACAATGCTCAGCTAGTTTTTAAATTATTTGTGGAGATGGAGGTCTTACTATGTTGTCCAGGCTGGTCTTCAACTCTGGGCCTCAAGCAATCCTCCTACCTCAGACTCCCAAAGTGTTGGGATTACAGGCATGAGCCACAGTGCCTGGCCTGAAGTACCTTTTCCTCTTTTATCAAAAAACAGTTCTTCAGGGAAGCCCTTCCTCAATTGCCCACTTCCTATCCCCAGCTATATTTTATTTCATAGCCCTTAGACACCAGAAGACACATAAAGCTTATGACCTGCTTATTCTCTGCTACTCTTACTAGAATATGCACATGAGGGTTCCGGGACCTTTAGCTTTGTTGTTCCCTGCAGCATCCCTGTAGCTTAGAACAGTGTTTGGCACTTCAGAAAATGTTTGTTGAATGAATCAAAGCAAATCTGTGTAATTATGTACACAGTTTGCTTCCTTTCAGAAAAAGAGGATTTATTTGTTTTTTAGTTGTATTATGATTTTTCTGAGACAGAGTCTTGCTCTGTTGCCCAGGCTAGAGTGCAGTGGCACGATCTCGGCTTATTGCAACCTCCACCTCCTGGGTTCAAGCAATTCTTGTGCCTCAGTCTCCTGAGTAGCTGGGATTACAAGTGTGCGGCACCATGCCCAGCTAATTTTGTATTTTTAGTAGAGACAGGGTTTTACCATGTTGGCCAGGCTGGTCTTGAACTCCTGACCTCAGGTTATCCACCCACCTCAGCCTTCCAAAGTGCTGGGATTACAGGTGTGAGTCACTGCACCTGGCTTGAAAAAGAGGGTTTAAAAGCTCTCAACCCCTCTGAATGTTACATGAAGAAGGTATATGTTATCTTCCTCACTCTCTTTCCAAGTGCCTATTTAAATAGAATAGCTTTCCCCAGCTTAAATGATATTCTTGAATGCTTATAAAGAATAAGTGTTATTGGACTTAGTCTTGTGAATAAAATAATTGTGATAATAATGAAAGATGTTCTGTATTTCAAATGGTGTTTTCTTCTGTGCCATCTCCAAATTTAAGTGTGTGTCAGTATTTAGTTGGAAACTTCAGGGGTAATAGTGATTTTATATGAGTAGCCAAACAGAAAATATCTCCTTTTATCATACCCCTGAAGGAGTTTAAAGGCAGCAAATCTTTTTTCATGGCAAAATGCCATGTTCAGCTGATAAGAGTGCCTGCAAGAGCCACCTGATTTGCCTGTGTTCCTCCAGATTCCCATGTGAGCAAATTTCAGGTCCCTGTTAGCATTTTCTTTATCTAAATTTGAGAGGTCAGTGAAATGAATTAACACTGTCACCTAGAGGCAATGTGACACAAGTAAGATTACTGAAAATAAATATAAAAGTTCAGGCTTTTATTATATTTACTTTCAGTTATTTTTATTTTATTTTCAGTTATTACCTTTAGTAATAACTAAAGCAGAAGCAATTGTACTCAACACAGTGACCAGATTTTAAATGAAACATTAAACATTTTTTTAAAAAGGGAATTTCCTTAACTTGTTAAGAGGCATCTATAATAAATATCTACAGCATAGGACTTAATAGTGAAATATCAATCCCGTTAAGAACGGAGAAAGGGACAGGTGTGGTGGCTTATGCCTGCAATATCAGCACTTGGGGAGTTCAAGGCAGAAGGATCATTTGAGGCCAGGAGTTTGAGAGCAGCCTGGGCAACAAGGTGAGACCCTATCTCTAAAAAACTAAACAAAATAACCAGTAGCGGGGTGTGTGTGTGTGTCTATTCTATCTATCTATGTGTGTGTGTGTGTTTTTCTATTCTATCTGTGTGTGTGTGTGTGTGTGTGTGTAGTGGGAGGTGAGGGTTTTAAGAAAAGAGCCACGTAAACTGGACCATGTCTAGTTTGAAATAACTCTGCAGATTAGGGTGGGTCTAATTGGAAAAGTCTCCACAGATTATTTTGATATAACCACTCCCTTCTCCTCTAGGAACCTTGGCTTTGTCTTATTCTTAAAACAAATATATTATGGCTTATTCAAATAAAGCTGTCACTAAGACAGTTGTTTGTGAAACTCCTCTTCTAGAACAGCCCACCCCAAATAATTACTTCAAGCTATTAACGGCAATTCCATTTCTCTTGCCAGTGGCTGTCTCAGAAATGGACAGCTGACCCAGCTCTGGCAAATGAGGTGTCAGGGGTATCAGCCGAGAAGCTCTGTGGAAGGTTCCTCCCTGCTCAGGAAGAGGCATGGGGGTAGTGTCTCTGTTCTCTGCTGGTGTCTCACCAGAGAGGATGCTTGGACCACTGTGGGCAGCTTGTCTATGGTCAGAAGACAAAGCCAACATGTGGAAAAGGGTCCCCAGGCAAAACCTTGAGTCCTCCTTTAAATATTTTCTTATATAAAACAATATATTTCTTTATTGTGTAAGCCATTTTGAATTTGCGTCCTATCACTTACAGCCAAAAGCATTCTAATGATTCCAGCTTGAAAACTTTTAGGAATGAAATATTAACACAGGGATTTGAATGTGCAACTGCTTTACCTGGATTAAGCAATTCCAAAAGTGTTTTTCAACCTCTCAAACTTAACACACACTACAGAGGAGTTCCAAAGCCAAATGAAGAAATCAGCCAAGGTAGGGAGCATCAGGTGCTTGCAGAGTGGAATATTCATGCTCTCCGTCATACGTTTGAAAATGTTTGAATAACACTGCCTGTCAAATGTGTGGTTTCTTTTAGGTTGTTCTAATTTCAACAGAAAGACAAAGAAGAGCAAAAGCTCCAGACGTCAACACTGAGGTATTATTCTAGAATGCCTCCTTTTGCTGTTTCTGACTTCTTTAAAATTGAAACTTTTTCAAGAGAGTCCAGATGGTGCCTCTATCAATTAACTCTGAGAATCACACTCCAGTTTAGCACTTCCAGTGAGGGGCACTTGGAAAGTACTGATATATGATCCAGTTAAGATAGTTAACAAGCTGAGTAAATAGAAGAGTAACACTTCACACTGCACACCATTTGACTAAAACTATGCCTTCAAAATTCTTCGCAATTTCATTTGCTCTTCTGGTTAATTCTACTCCAGCACTGAGACCTGATAGTCTTGTGACATTGTGGAGCTATCGGAAGTAGCAGCTGATTTGCCACATGGTAAACCCTCATGAGCCCCAGGGCATTCTGCCAAAAGACTGCCTGAGATTTGCTGCTCCATTTTTAGTACATGGGCTGGGTTTCTTCATTCAATGCTTGAAAGCCAATCTCCATCAGAAGCATTGAGGCTTTTAGCTTTTAAATATTTTTAATTAAGATGATCTTCAGAAGTCATTGGCTTGATCTTAGAAATATGACAATTGCACATTCAGATTATATGTTCCCTTAGAACTCATCTCCTTCTACAAACATTCTTGGATAAAACCAATCTTCATCACTGTACACCTTCTACTATTTGTATTATTTTGGCCTCATTCTCTGGTTATTTCCTGTATGCATTTTTTTTCCTTTGCAATTATATTGCAAACTCTTCTAGGTCAGGAAGAATAGTTGCTTCATTTGCAGCCCTCAGTATATATTTGTAAATATTAATAAAATATCAGGAGATAATTAATCATAATGGTATTATTCAATGTACTGAAGCAAATTAGCAAAATAGGCTTTACTTAAGTGGGAAGAGAGCGTTTCCATTTCACACAAGAAGTGATACCACACTTTGCACATAGTAGCATTTGATAAATATTTCCTGAATGAATGAGATCACTATACACAACACAGAATTATGGAACTAGAAAGCATGGCAAAGAAATCACTACTAGGCCTCTTTTTTTGGAAAGCAAATTACCCAGACTGATGAAAATCTGTCTAGTTTTTAAAAGACCACAAACTTACACAGTGAATCATTCTAATGTTTTGAAGCCCTCCCTATTAAAATACTTTCTTTATATCCTGTCCTAGATGGTAGGGAAATTGATGACATCATTCCACTCAGACACACAAAAATACTTCTAAGATTTCCAAGGTGAAGAAAAGAAAAAGTGGGAGAAAGAGAGAGAAGAGAGAACGTTCCAGACAGATGACCAGCTGCTGATTCTGCAGTACATTTCTTTGTGTCAGATATTTATCTTCCAGTCTGAATGTCTTTTTTCCCCCCAAAAGATATGGAAACATGGCTTAGCAATAGAGAGGTTAGTGAAAGGTTTTTGTTTTATAATGCACTGAATTATTTCCTTATGGTTAAAGAAAAACAGCCTATTCTTTAGAAAAAAAAAAAAAAAAAAAAAGGGGGGGGGAGCATGTGTAACTGTGCAGAAAAGAATACTTAAATTTCGTAATTTCCTTTGAAAAAAAGTTATAACCTAGTATGAATGACTACAGTAGCTTTATATAAAAGATTATCAACCAGAATACATACTCCTGGAAATTTTAGTTCCATTGACTTCGACTTTCTGGATGAAGGCCAAATGAAAATATCTTCCTTATGGGTGAAGGAAGAATCATCTGAACTATTTATTTTAGCTACGTAAATGTATGTATTGTTTTTATTAAGGCAGCCATGTTTTATGCTCTGTGGTTTTCTCCTCTCAATATTAGGACTCTGAATAGAACTTAAGATGGTATCTATTTATATTTAGTATTAGATAGCCCTTTATTTCTTCTGAAAAATGAACAGTTCAACTAATAGGGAAAAGTCATACTCTGTGTTTTCTTTAGTACACAGCTTAATAACCTCAGCAACAACTTACTCTTTCTCCTTTGGGACCTGCAGGGCCATGGGGTCCCATAGGACCATCTGTACCCTAAAAAAAAAAAAGATAATATGAGACATATCACAAGGGCTGCAAGAATAGCAGTTATACTTTATCCTGGATTTTTTCTGGGTGAATGGTGCCTAAGAATGTCAGTAAGACAATTCATCTCCTTTCAAAGTGCTTTATGCTTGATTATTTCAGGCCAGTGGTTTACAAGAAACTCATGCAAAAAGGATGAATTATATAACTGCATGTTTCAATGAGAGGGACACACAAAAATCTGCATATCATATTTAATTGTATATTTTCCTCTGACTTAAAGCATCATTGGCTCGGCGCAGTGGCTCACGCCTGTAATCCCAGCACTTTGGGAAGCTGAGGTGGGTAGATTACCTGAGGTCAGGTGTTTGAGACCAGCCTGGCCAGCATGGTGAAATCCCATCTCTACTGAAAATACAAAAATTAGCTGGGCATTGTGGCAGGTGCCTGTAGTCCCAGCTACTCTGGAGGCTGAGGCAGAAGAATCACTTGAACCAAGGAGGCTGAGATTACAGTGAGCCAAGATCATGCCATTGCACTCCAGCCTGGGCAACAGAGTGAGACTCTGTCTCAATAAATAAATAAATCATCTTCACTTTGCCCCATAATCTTAAGAAGAAAAATGTAATTGTTTTTCCTTCCTGTCACCTCTTCCTCAAGCCCCTTCTCTGCGCCCACTGCCACCCTTAGCAGGCAGGCTCTAAACTTTTGTTTTCAGTTGTTTAAGAGGCTTGAACAGTTACACAAATGGAAGAAAATTATTAAGTAAGTGAAAACAGTGTGTAACTGTTCAATCCAAACTTTCTGTGGCTCTATTGGGGGCAGCAGTGGCTTATGGGAAAGGAATCAGTCTTCTAGATTCTGCGGCAGTGGCTGGTCACTAAGCTTATAACTCACAAACCAGGCAGCCATGATGACTTAAAAGTATAATTGCCTTTTGTCCTCCTGCTTAGTTCAGGATTAGGATTTTTGTGGTAGAAGAGATAATATTTGAATGAATGTAATAACACTGGTGCAATGGCATGATTTCATCTCACTGCAACCTCTGCCTCCTGGGTTCAAGTGATTCTCCTTTCTCAGCCTCCTGAGTAGCTGGGATTATAGGCACCCACCACCACAACTGGCTAATATTTGTATTTTTAGTAGAGACAGGGTTTCACCATGTTAGCCAGGCTGGTCTTGAACTCCTGACCTTGTGATCCACCTGCCTCGACCTCCCAAAGTACTGGGATTACAAGTGTGAGCCACCTTGCCCGGCCTTAGATTCTTAAAACTATAGCCAGGACTTCAAGTACACTTGCTCATTTCCAGGATAAAACTATGCTTAGATTCACAAAAAAATTGATTATAATATTTGCAAATGTAGGAACTATTCCAGCATGATTTTTCTTTAGTATTCCATTTCTGTTCTATTCTGGTTTATTCTATTAGAGCCTTGTGATAAGAAAGAATTCAGAATTTTAAATTCATTCTAATGTTGCTGAATTCTCATCAGCTTAACTGATCTTTTTCTTACTGCCTGAATTCAAAGTTCACCTTCAGAAGACTTCTAAATACTGAGTATCTGTGGCTGAAATTTAAGAGCTGGAGCTGTTAAGAACCAAAGAAAAAAGACAAAATGACAGAAGACAGACAAGTCATTTCTATAAACAGAAATTGAAAGTTAGTGCCAAGGAAGAAGCTACATTTGTAAAACGGACATAAGTCTAAAAGGAAAAGCAAGTCAAAATAATTTCACATTATTTTAATCTCTTCAGAGGGTCTCTCTTATGAAATTGTAGGGCTTGCCTATTGGTTCTGGAAAAATTCAGCTGGGATTCTAAGACAATAAAGCCAATTAGTCTGCTCATTCTTCCCACCTAGCAAATTATCCAGACTTGAACGTGGGCTTCAAAAAGATATTCTGGCGGTTTCGCTGTTCTCCAGACAGAGTTGCAACTGTCCTCTGTCCAGCTTTCCCCCTTTTGCCACCATCTTTGTCCACCTTCTCCTTTTACTCCAGCTCTACGTATTCCCTCACCATTTAATGAGAGGACATGGAGCAAAGGGTCTGTCCTGAAGCCCATGATTCACATCCACAAAACATGTCAGAACAAGACGAGCGACTGACTCACCCGGGATCCTGGCTTTCCGTCTAAGCCAGATGCTCCCTGTGTGATTTGGTTGGTAGCAGGGTTGGTGGGTGTAACACGAATGACAAGAACAGAGATTAGTATGAGGTACTGATGAACAAATGTAACACTTCAAACAACATAATACGCAGTTACAGGGTTCTGGGATGAATATCACATTGCTACAAATTGTTAGTTAAAAAAAAAAAAAAAAACCACATGACAAACACCCCACAGATGATGGCATTTTAATGACATTTCTATTTGACAAATTCTCATTTAGAAATCAAGCTAATGAAGTGTATAAACTGAGCTACAAAGTAGTTACTCATAACAGTCACAGGCTTTATCTATTTTCCATATGAAATTCGTTTTCTAAGGACTGCTATTCACCATATATTTCTTTAGGTTCTGAAGAGAAAAGAATAGCAATTTCCTTAGAAAGGGCTCATTATAATACTCAAATTTAGCATTTCAGAAGAAGAAAAAGAGCTCTGGTTATCCTTGTTAAAATAGTGTTTATGAATAACAAATGCAGGGTTTCCACGTTAGGATGACTCTTGGTGGATTTTACATCCACAATTACTCATTGTTTTCTGGATTGTTCCTACTGTTCACATTACTTTCCACTAGAGGGACTTCTAGGAAAGGGAAAAAGCCAGAAAACAAATTGTGAGGCCGAGCAAAAAATAACTTCCAAACTAAATTGTTTCTCAATTCCTTCAAATAATCTTTGCATCAAAGCCTGACTGGGAAGATAACTTTAAAAATCTAGTGTTGTCAGACAATGAATGCTTTTCTTTACTTTGAACTCTAGGCTACCCATAAATAGTGTATGATTAAAAAATGGCATTTTCAATGCTTGTTTCAAGAATAAGCACAATTATTTCTTTGATACCGTTCTTGTCTCAAAGGCCAAATATTTATTGATAGTCCCTTAAAAATATTGGTTAGATCAAGGAGTATTTAAGAAAGAAAATGCTCTGGCCCTAAACATTCTCTTATCAAGATTACAGAACTATTTCCCAATTTTATGCTTCAGAAGCAGTTAACAATATAAAATGGAAGAAAAAAATCTATCCCAGATGCAAACTCTACCAATGATGTTATTCTATATATGTTTTGGGTATTTTGAGTTTTTATTTTAAGATTTATTCTGTATAATCCTGTTATGAGCCATACCATAACTGTAAACTACATACTTTTCTTTTGGAGATGGAGTTTTACTCTTGTTGCCCAGGCTGGAGTACAATAGCATAACCTTGGCTCACTGCAACCTCTGCTTCCCGGGTTCAAGTGATTCTCCTGCCTCAGCCTCCCAAGTAGCTAGGATTATAGGAGTGTGCCTCCAGGCCTGGCTAATTTTTGTATTTTTAGTAGAGACAGGGTTTCATTATGTTCGCCAGGCTGGTCTCGAATTCTTGATCTTCGATGATCACCTGCCTCAGTCTCCCAAAATGCTGGGATGACAGGCTTGAGCCACCGTACCTGACCTACATACATCTTTTGTTAGCAATAATTACAATAAAAATGTATATTGTTGGCTGTTTAAGGTTAGCATAGGTAGAGCTTAGCTAAATGTTGCATAAAAATTATCAATAGTCCTAAATTTTAAATTAGGGCAGACTTTAAAGAAATCAGATTGAAAGTGAAAATCCAAACTTTCTTTTGCCTTTAGAGATTTTCTTCAATTATTATAACAACATTTGAAAATAAATGTAGGCCAGGCATAGTGGCTCATGTCTATAATCTCAGAGCTTTTGGAGGCCAAGGCAGGAAGATTGCTTGAGGCCGTTTGAGATCAGCATGGGAAACATGGTGAGACCCAATTTCTATAAAATATTTAAAAAAAAATAAATCGCTTGAGCCCAGGACTTTGAACTTGCAGTGAACTATGATTCTACCACTAGACTCTAGCCTGGGTGACAGAGTGAGTCACTGCCTCAAAGAAAAAAGAAAAGAAATGTGGAAATTGTAATAATTTTATACTAATATTATGTCTACCTAGAATGCTGAATTAATGACTCACATACATTGTAGAGGTTTTATGCCTGTGGCCCACTGATCTAACTGGTGTGATTAAACCTATATTAGGCTGGGCTGGTGGCTCATGCCTGTAATCCCACCATCTTGAGAGGCTGAGACGGGCGGATCACCTGAGGTCAAGAGTTTGAGACCAGCCTGGCCAACGTGGTGAAACCCCATCTCTAGTAAAAATACAAAAAAAAAAAAAAAAATACAAAAATTAGCCGGGCATGGTGGCATGTGCTTGTAGTCCCAAATACTCAGGAGGCTGAGGCACAAGAATCACTTGAACCTGGGGGGTAGAGGTTGTAGTGAGCCAAAATTGTGCCACTGCACTCCAGTCTGGGTGACAGGGACTGTATCTCAACAATGAATATGTAAAATAAGCCTATATTCTAACACAAGGTTTATATCAGTCATTCATTAAATAAATACCTATTGACAATCTACTGTATGCTGGATGTATGTAAGATGCTTGCTATCAACTGCATAAAGTTATAATACCCATGGCAAAAATAAAATAAATGGTCATCAACTTTTTTTCTCCCATATTTCAAATTGTGTATAAACTATATTCTGTTACTGATTTTATGTCACATTTTACTAATGTAATCCATACTGTTCTTTGTTGATTTGTATCCATATTCACTGAATAGATAGCATATGAAAGGCTTGAAATTAAAGCCTCATATTTAATAACAATTTTAAAATATCTCTTCTTAGTTGTCGTAGAAAGAAGACTGACATAAAGAAAATGAAGAGCCGGGGGAAATTCCTTCATTACAAATAAACATCTCTAAACAACAGCAGAATAATTTTTTCATACTACCCACTATTGCCACAGGAACCTCATAACAGGGAATTTTCAAAACAAACAACATAAAACACGCAGAACATAATATGATTGATTAAGGAGCCACAGCATCAACCTCACGCCATCAGCAATGGCCAATTGCATACTTGCCACCAACAGAGGGCTAAGGTTTTTGGTATCCAAGGAGAAAAAACAAGGAAGCATTTTAAATTGTACTAGATTATAAGAAGCGTTTGGGAGAAACTATGAAATTATGAGCATAACACTTTTAAAAGAAGGGGATCGTGGGAGAAGAACTGTCAGCCCTAAAAGAGGAAGGTTGGCATGTATGTAATTGAAAAATGACAGGACATTTATAGCATTGTCTGTTCTGGGTCTTCCTTTGTCACAAGAGCAGAAAACAAAACTGGGCTGAGCTCTGCTCTAACATGATATGTTTTCTAATTACAGAAACCTCAACAGTATGAGCTGATGAGTAAACCAGAGTTATCACGTAGGGTAGAAAGAAAAATCTGAGATTTGCACTAAAATGGAAAGTTTTCTTTACTTACTGGAAGACCAAGGGGTCCTCTGTCACCCTTTTGACCTGGTTCACCCTTCAATCCTTTAACACCATTTAACCCTGGTTCACCCTAAATGCAAAAGCAAATGCCAATTTTGGTTGCTATTATGGGTGTTTAAACTGTGAGAGAAGAGAACCAGTCTGTGAAATAGTTGCAGATTCCAGTTTTAGGAAACAGCAGAGTCAGGCTAGATTTGTCTTGCACCAAACATTAAATTTAAACATTAAAACAGTTGCTAAACTGACAATAATTAACATTCTAGAAATCAAAACTCCCAAGAAATTGTCCTCTTTACAATAAAAATATGATTGAATTCCTAAATTTTTCAGTTCTATCTCAAGGAAATTCATGTTATACCACATTTTTATGATCAAATACAATCGAGTAGAGGATGCTGAAGAAGATTCGACCAAAAAAAAAAAAAAAAACCCACTCTGCTGGAATGGAAAACTGGAATATGCAGGACAGGGTTATAGACAGATATTTTAAGCCTTTAAGCATTTTGCCCAAGGGAATGAGCTAAAAATGTAGCAGCTGCTGTTTGAAGTAATGCCATTTAGCAAGTCCTCATTCACTGCCCCGGCCAAGTCAGATCCCTACATGGACCAATCACCAAATCGCCAATCCCAGGAGAAAATATGAAGATCAAAGAACTTAAATGTAGTTTTATTAACTGTCCATCTGCCCAATGTTAGAAAAAGCATGAATTTAAGGGTGACATTACAAAAGACACAAGAAATGATAAAATTCTTGACTTTTTAAAAATCAAGAAATACAGCACACCTATTTTTCATCAGTGACAGCATGGGCAATATCAAGTTCTGACTTGTATACATTTCAACTTTTACGTGTAAACATTAATTTGTCGAGAAAATCTTGAAGGACTTGTGAAAGAAGGATGATTTCACATACAAATGCCCTATAGAGTCTTGCTGGGTGGGGGTGGGAAGGGGAGAGGCTATACTCACATGGCAGAAGTGGTTTTTAACCTGGGCAGTATTTACTCAACTTGCCTGATGATGAAACTCAGTGTAGTGCTTGTTAAAGAGCTCAGGGCCCCACCCAGTTCCTGGGAGCACAGAAATGGGTATCTTTAATTAGCCTCCCAGGTGATTCTTATCCGGAAATTCTGGAAAACACTGAGCTAGATTCATGCATGGAATCATGCTATATATGTGAACTTTCAAAGGGGGTCGCAAAGTGGTGAACACACTGGCATGGCATAAAAAATTTTCAGGATTTTGAAGATAGGATGTTTGCAGTGCAGCCACTATATAGCAAGTCCGAATGTGCTGGTGTTGGTAAGGTGCTATTCTGGGAATGCTATGATTGAGGACACAATATTAAGGCCAAGACCCAATAGTCAGTGACTGATTTGAGATCCATGGCTTGGCATATGTGTGCACTTTCAGCAAGTGGCCTTGTGAGGTCCTTGAGGTTAAATCCAGTGACAGAAAGACTGAATTTCAAGTCTGGACCTAAGCTCAGTCCCAGATCTGTCATGAATTAGCTGTGTAATTTGGGGCAAATAACCTAAACTGTTCAGGCCTGTAGTTTATCATCTATAACATCAGGGAACTTGCATAGATAGCTATGAAGTCTTTTCAACTTTATAATTATCTGAAACTTATGATTTAAGTAAACATTGAAGTTGTATGGACAAAATGTTGCATTTTAGAAATCAAAAGCATTTTGGGCATCTCTTAATCCAATGGTGATGGCATATCTGAGTCATTTATGAAATTAAATATCTTGGTGGCATTATCCTTAGTCATTATGACAGGCTGGTGTTTGGTGGCATCTTAAAATCCAAGAGTAGGATGGATTGATTTAGTCCAGACGGGGAAAAAGGCCCAGAGAGATTAAACGACTACTAAGATCACAAAGCTGATAGATGGGGCTCTCTCTTTTGACCACCCCACCAGATAGTGCTCTCGCCCCAAAGTCTAATTCATGCTTCTGAGATACTGTTACTCACTGGCCTTACCAGAAGGTAAGGTAGTCTAAGAAGAATAAAGAGGCGTGAACTTCTCCTATTCTTGGATGTCACCTGCCTGACTGGGAAAAGGAAACCCAGATTTTCGGAGTCAGACCAATACCTGCCACCACCGCTGGAGCTTGGTGGGCCAAAGGGAGCCAGCCCCCCAGAGAAGATGGTGGCCTGTCTCTAGGCTTTGTGACACTAGTGCCAACATTGCAACATTGCCTTTATGTGTCTCCCCAGCCCCTACCTTGTAGTCGCACCACTCACTACTGAGGCACTCTCAGGAGTTCGTGAACCTTCTTTCAAGCAGCCTTGAGGATGAGTTATAGAATTTTTCTGTTCAGAACAAAGTATCACATAGCAACAGTAACAGCTGTCTTTTGATATTTATCAATAGCTGTACCAGATATTTTGCTAAGTGTTTTATAATCATACCTAAGTTATCACAGCACTGGGTCAGATGCGATGGCTCACACCTATAATCCCAGCACTTTGGGAGGCCAAGGCGGGTGGATCACCTGAGGTTGGGAGTTCGAGGCTAGCCTGACCAACACGGAGAAACCCTGTCTGTACCAAAAAAAGTACAAAAATTAGCCAGGTATGGTGGCACATGTCTGTAATCCCAGCTACTTAAGAGGCTGAGGCAGGAGAATCCCTTGAACCCAGGAGGCGGAGGTTGCAGTGAGCCGAGATCGTGCCATTGCACTCCAGCCTGGGCAACAAGAGCAAAACTTTGTCTTAACTTTTTTTTTTTTTTTTCTTTATCATAGCACTGTAAAGTGAGTTACCCAGTTGAGTAAATAAAGGATCAGAGGGTCCATAGTCTGCTCATGGTGATACAGCCTGGCAAGAATGAGATTAGAACATAGGTCCTCCTCATGCATGCTCCCTGAAAGGGGCAGCTTGTCTTTCAGGGCTTATTTTAATCCTCCAGGATGTCCTTGTGGTCTACAATAAGGCAAAGGACAGGTGGAGGCCATCTTCATGATGCAAACTACACTAATTCTGACAAAGAGGAGCTCTTCTCCATTGTTCTCTCTTTAACGCAAAAGTATAGAAGGCATGTAAGTGATTTGATCTTCTTCCCAGTACAGCACACCGGAAATGCCCCACCCCCTTCTAGACCAATAACCTTTGGGAGAGTACAAAATTAAGATGCTGAAGAGGCAAAGCATTTAGATGTGGTATGAACTACACGGCAAGTAAGAAATATCAATAGCATTCAAATATGCAGCTAGAGTCACCATTAAAAAAAGCACCTAGACTAGTCTGAGAATCTCATCAGATTCACTTCTAAATGGTAGACTTGAGAATCTTATGATTTGTAATTTAAGAAGCTTACATAGTGACCAGGAAAAAGGCAAAATGAGGCATAATTTATCTCCAGGTGACATCTCTTAAATTTGTTATAAGTCATTTTGTGTTATGAGATTTAAACATCTGGATGCTTAAAGGCTCAAAGATTATCAACATTACTTGACAAATAAGACAGGACAGACATGCTTCTGTCATGCTTCTCCACGGTTATCAAGGAAACAGAAATCAAATAAGGGATTTGTTGGATTACCTTTGGTCCAGGAAGTCCATGAGGTCCCTGAAAAAGGAAAACAGAGGTTTTAATTAAGAACTGATTCACTGTTTCCCAGCAGAAGTGAATATTATATCAAGCAACAAAAGAGATGTAAAACAAGAATCTTCTTGTTTGAGCTATAGCTAGAGGCAGGCTAGTGGATGTTATTTATTACCTACCAAAAGTTCCTTCCAGCTCTTGGGTGGCTCTGTAATAGGAAATTCATTAATAGCCATTCTGTCTGCTAATACCTTTGAGGAGGAAGAAATCTGCCAGGGATACATGGAAGAAAGAAGTGGGGAAAATATTCTGAACTCAAATTACCATTAAAAAATCTGAGTGGAATACATGAGATATTTCAAGAGTTTAAATAAAATAAAAATATGACTTCAAAGAGAAATTTGCCAAAGAGAAGGCCCAGACTTTAGGTGCCAGGGAAGAGGAGACATTTTCTATTAACTCCTCCAGACCCAAAGGAGACTAGTGAGGAGATAATACCCAAGTTTGGGATTCTGTAGCATCATTTATTTAGTTTAAAGAAAAGATTATTATGTAGGAAAGCTAAGCATTATTATTTACATTGCATTTATTTTTACAAAACAAATTCTTCAAGGCTCCTGTAATAATTATTGGTGGAAGAAAATCATAATACATGCATGAATCAAGATTATAAAACATGTATTTTGTAGAAAATCTAAATATAGAGACTAGTCAAGTTAACTAAGCTTACTGTGGATTGCTGTAAACTTTTCAAGTGTTTTAAACTATTTGGAGAAAGGAGTATTTAAATATTTGTCAGTAAAATTATAAAACTGCAGAAAAAAGTTTTTATTGAGCAGTGCCTAGATATTTGTTACATATGTCCACATTAGAATAATATTTTGCTTTTCAATAAGTTTCAGATAAACGTTTTCAGGAAAAGGCTGGGCTGTTACTTTATCAGGTGTTCTTATCTCATTTTAATAAGGTTTAAAATTCCTTTAAACGGATTAATTTTATGATATGAACAGGATATAGCATTTTCTAACTTAACCTTCTATCTTATAGTAGAGGGAGTATTTTTAAAAAGCTGAAAGTATGTAATTTGCTTAATTCTTAATGAACCATCTGGTTTTAAGAAAATAAGTTCACATCAGGCGAGGTGGCTAAAACCTATAATCCTAGCACTTTGAAAGGCCAAAGTGGGTATATCACTTCAGTCCAGCAGTTCAAGACCAGCCTAGGCAATGTGGTGAAACTTCATCTCTTCAAAAAATGCAAAAATTAACTGGGCATAGTTGGTGGCATGTGCCTGTAGCCCCAGCTACTTGGGAGACTAATGTGGGAGGATCACCTGAGCCCAGGATATAGAAGTTGCAGTGAGCCATGATCGTGCCACTGCACTCCAGCCTGGGCGATAGAGTGAGACCCTGTCTGGAAAAAAAAAGAAAGAAAGAAAGAAAATACGATCAATAATAATTGTTTATGTTATGCAATAGAAATGGAGCTAGTCAGAAATGGATGACTAGCTACCTTCTGTGGCTTAGATCATTCCAATAATGCTCTTTCTTGGAGTGCAATGGGAGGAAAGAGTGACCACAATTTACTTATTCTGTAATACTGAAGTCTTTTGATTTATTAACACCTTAGAGACACACATCTAGCCTGCCTGACTTGATCCTATTCTGCCCCAGTCAAAAGCACTTGAAGCTCTCTGCCTTTGACATTTTAACCTTAACACAACTGTCACTGGTTTATCATTTAGAGAATTATACTTGGCTTAATGACTGCCTTCCTTACTGGACCTCAGTTCCTTGAGGGTAGGGTCACTGTCTCCATTGGCCACTGCAAGACACCTGCAGCTAGCACTGGCCCTGACTCAGTGAATCGATCAAAGTACCATAAAAGTGAGAAGGAGAAGATCTAACAATATATATTATCTGTGGAAAGAAGATTCAACTTTTATCATACTATTTTATAAATATTCTTCTTAAAAATTGACACATAATAACTATATATTTATGGATACAATGTGATGTTTTGATGCCATATAAAAAATGTTTTTATTGAACATTTCATTAAAGAGTTCAAACTTCAACGTTTGTAAGAAACATTCTTTAATGGCTATTATTATTTTATTTTTTTATTTTTTGAGATAGGGTCTCAGTGTCTCCCAGGCTAAAGTGCAAGGGCATGATCACAACTCACAACAGCCTCAGCCTCCCTGGGCTCAGGTGATCCTCCCACCTCAGCCTTCTGAGTAGCTGGGACTACATGAGTGTACCACCATGCCCAGTTAATTTTTGTATTTTTTGCAGAGATGGGGTTTCACCATGTTGCCCAGGCTGGTAACTACTGACCTCAAATGATCTGCTCGCCTTGGCCTCCCAAACTGTTGGGATTACAGGCATAAGCCATTGTGTGCAGTCGATTCTTAATCTCATTCTACTGGTATCAGGTTAGAGCAGCGACTGGATAAAATGATTTGCCAGCGTTCATGCTGTAAGGTTATAGTAGAGCTTGCTAGATTTGTCTGTCTTTCCTTACCTCTGTCATAGAAGAGAACTACTCTATCTCTTCCCAACATACGTGTTTGGGAGAGTGAAAGATAACATGGTAAAGTTAGTGTATCTCAGAGCACCTGGTATTTTCCATCATTCCACAGAGTAGTACAAAATGCAAGCTGGCTGTTTAGAGGGATGTGTTCATGTTTTCCCTAGTAGCATGCTCGTAAATAAGCAATTACATTTTAGAAAAAAGGGAAACTTACCATGGGGCCAGGTGGGCCATGGGGACCTGGTGGGCCTGGTGGGCCTATGATCTGTATGTTCAAACAATAAAAATATATTTGGTTACTTCATTTAGATAAGGCAGTTCAACTTGAATCTTGTGCTGAGGTTCTGCTAAGACCATTAGTAGTTGCAGAGGAAGAAAGATACTGAAATAAGTGATGTGTTTGATTCTCTAGATTTAGAAATTCCCTTGTGAGAATAAAAAAAAAATACTCCAAAAAAAGTTCTACAAAAGCCAGAATAAATCAAAAGTATGCTAAAAGAAAAGGAAGGAACTCATTACCAAGAAATGCTATAATGTCACTATCAAACTCAAATATTTCACTAAGCAGAAGGCGGGCTCTGGAGAAACTAACCGGCATGTTCTATGTTCACAAAGATCTATCCATTGTTATGAGAAAACCATTGATTTTTTCCTTAGAATTAGCCAGTCCTCTGAAAACCTGCTTCTTCCTCAGACCTGTGAGATACTTCATCTGTCACTATGCAAGGCTGATGAATGTTTCTCCTACAATTTGACAAACCAAGAGGTTTAAGGTCTTTGTGATGTTGTTCAGCCACCTGGCAGAGGTGGAATAGGTAAATAACAAGTCAGCATGTGAGAAGGTTCAGGAACCATGGAAGTTCAGCCGCCGTGGACTTACAGAAGGACCCTGTGGACCCGGCATTCCAGAATCTCCTTTTTCTCCTTTCATTCCATTGGCTCCCTATAAATAACCATTAAGCAAATTTATTTCCAACATAAGAGACAACAGAATTTTCTCCCCAACCCCATTGTTCTCTTGACATTTTATAACATTATGCACTTGCTACAGAAAAAAGGGATTCATCTCCTTGCATTCTAGCTTAAAAAAGCAAGCTTACTAAAATCCCTAGGATTATGGGTGATATGTAAAATAAAATACGGAGTAAATAAAAACCAGTTTGAGCTTGATTGGTTAAAGTTCTCCAGTTTTAAATATATATTGAGTTATAAATGTTATATCTTTTATGGTGGTGTGCAATTTAAACAGCAAAGGTAAGTCTTTTAGTTTTTACTGATATTTATATACTTCTTTGTTTCATAAAAAAGTCCAAGGCAGTGGAGTTTACTGCATTTTTTAAAACAATTTTACATTTTCTCCTCGAAATTCTCAGAATTATGAGGAAAACCATAAAACACTATCATATAGGATCATACACACAGAGGACACTTTCCAGAGTAATTTGTTTTTTACTTGTAATTTGTTTTTTAATTTAAATATTTTTTGGCTCATTTCTTTATTATGGTTTATTTTATTGTAACCAGTTACCACCATCTTATGCATACTAAATTAAAGTGGCCAACTATGTTTATTTTATTATCTTCTAGGGAAAACAATTAAGGAAAACATGAAGGCTTACTTCATAATTCATTTGGTTACATGCTTTACAATTTGAGTTCCCTAGAGTAATTAACCAATAATACCTCAAATATTTGAAAATAAAAATATTAGATGAACCACTAGATGAAATTGCAGCTAATAATATAACTGTTTTCTGATTGTTTAATAGATCTTAATAAGAACATAATATAAAAGTATAAACATACCGGTAATCCAGGAAGTCCAATTCCTCCTTTTTCACCTGGCATACCTGGGTCCCCCATGTCTCCCTTTGAGCCTTTGAGTCCCTAAAAATGATAGATAGGGTTGGCACATAAACAGCATACTGACCCCTGATAGTTACATCCTAGGGAAAAGAGAATTCTGGATCAATTTGGTTAGTAGGTGGGTTCAATGTTGAGATGGGTCAGATTTTTGTTTTTAGGTAGTTATTCCTTACAGCAACTTTCTACATGCAATCAATACTATTTCCCCTTGTAATGAAATATATTAAGTTATATTAGGCTATTTAAGTATGAAAAACCAGGTTTTTCATGAACTTAGGTTTTGATATAAATTCTCCTGATTTTATATTTTTACCTGGCAGCTAATTCTATCTCACCAGACCTGAAAACAACTTAATACATTTAATTCTCAATAGTAGAGGATGTATTTTGAACCGGGCCCTGGTGTTATATAATAATAAATACCCAGACAAATTTTTCTCATCTCCACCTACTATACTCCCCTCGTTCCTAACTGCAGGCAGAAGTTCCAGTCACTATCAGTGTTCAATGGTTCAATCTACAGACTGGTAAATCATTGGATCATTTGCTGCACACTAATGCTCAATCAATGCTTAAAAGTACAACCACCTCTTCACAGTGTTCTTATTTTGTTCTCATGATATCTCTATGAAGCGAGCCAGAATGTTAGTTTTATTCTCCTTTTACAGTGAGGAAATAGATAAATGTGCATTATGAATGTTAAAGAAATTGAATTTTGAATTTTTTTTTTTTTTAAGACAGAGCGTCTCTGGACTGCAATGGTGCGATCTCGGCTCACTGCAACCTCCGGCTCCTGGGTTCAAGCCATTCTCCTGCTTTAGTCTCCCAAGTAGCTGGGACAACAGGCATGTGCCACCATACCCAGATAATTTTTGTATTTTTAGTAGAGATGAGGTTTTACCATGTTGGTCACACTGGTCTCAAACTCCTGACCTCAGGTGATCTGCCCACCTTGGCCTTCCAAAGTGCTGGAATTGCAGGCATGAGCCACCATGCCAGGCCTGAATTTTATAACATTAATACTGGCATTAATTTATATTTTTAAGCATTTTCATCCTAGAAAACTCACTTCAATATGACCGATAGGCTCATTCTTCACTAGCGATGATCATAGTTAAATGGTAAGGGGCTTCTAGGCTGCACAAATCTGTTTATCTTTTTTTATTAAAAATTATTTGTGGAGAACGATTATTTATGGAAAGGAACTTTTCTTCTTAACTGTACCTATTTCACAGCCCCTAGTCCAGAATTACCCACTGGGTGGGTAGGTGCCTGAATGAATGGATAGATCCTACTGGTTAATCAGACCCGGATATTTTTTAGGGATCTAGTGATAGAGAGCAGCAGGATGGCAACCACTGGACTTGGTGACAGAAGAAAACCTTGCAAAGTCTATAGAAAAAAAAAAAAAAAAAAGCAAGCTACTGTATCTGTAGGGGCCTTATTGTATATCATTATGCATGTCAAATTAATTACTTATAATGACCAACGGTGAGACAAGTAACAGATTTTAAAATTCTATGTGATCTATGACATAGCAAATCATCTAGGGTATCGTTTTTTATCACATGTTCATTTAATATGGCATTATATTATTTAAACATATAACTCTGATGCTAAAAATAACATCTCCTAAACCTAATTTTCCTATCTAATACTTTCTTCTGAGGAGTGTATGTTCACTAACTGCATTAAGAATCCTTTTGATTAAAGGGGAAAAAAAGGAAAAAAAGAATCTTTTTGACTTCTTATGATTTTCCTGATTTTAGCCATTTCTTGAGTAAATAATGGAAACAGAGAAAACACTAAAGATCTTAAAATGAATCCTTTTGATTCCATTCCAAATTCTGAATACTGTCTATGTTCTCCAGCTCAGATTCTTTTAGGGCAGGTGTTGCCAAACCATGGCTCATGGGCCAAATCCATCCCAGGGATTATTTTTGTACAGGGTGGTGTTTTTTAAAAAATGCTAAGAGGTGTTAACCAAAAAATAAAGTAAAATAAAAAGGAAACTAGAAAATGTCAACACAGACTGTATGTGGCCTGTAAAGCCTAAAGCATTTACTATCTGGACCTTTAATTAACAAAGCTTGCTAACTTCTGTTTTAGGGGGAACCCTCAGAGATATACCACCATACCCTGTAAAGCTACAAGTGCCCTGCTTGTTTCTGTATTTTCCAAGGATCTAGAGATTAGGTGTCATCTTTATTTGGGAAAAGAAAACATTGTCTAAATAAGGCATATAGGCAAGATTTAGTTTTATGGAAACTATGGTCACTGATGAAAATTAGACTATTTTTACTAACTTGGTAATGACTTTACAAGTCTATTAAAAATTTGCAGAGGAGTCACTGGTAGATTGCTATAAAGTATTAAGAACAAAACTTAAGTATTATATGGCTTAGATGTTTCTGCAAAGAAAACTGGTCTAATTTCAAACTAATTGCTTTTTAGAGTCAATGAAGTCTCTAGAACAAATGGTTAAAAGAAAGAGGGTATCAAATATCAACACTCATGACATTTTGGCTTCAAACCTACAATAAAAGTAGCCATCAAGAATTATGCTTTAAATAAAGGCATATGTCTTTGAAAATTACCTGCTCTCCATCCATTCCTGGGATTCCTGGAGATCCTTGCTCTCCCTGTTAAGATGAAAATAGATGACCCATCTCCATTTCTCATTAGTAACATCCTGCACTACATAAAAAATGATGCTAGTTGGTTAACAGTACAATTTGACTTTCAGCAAAGGCATCATAGCCTGAGAATATTCTATTATAGCACATATCTAAACTAAGGGAAGTAATAATCTTTCTTTGAGACTATGCATAGTATTCATATGCAGCTAAGATCCAGTGCTTTTATTGTTTTTATTTTTTCTCCGTGTGAGATGCAGGCTAAAAAAGAGTGGTCAAAGAAAACTGATAGACATAATTTGATAACTGGCCATATCCTATAGCAACAACCTATCTGCCTCAGTTATTTTTTTTCTCCATACAATATCTGTATGATTTCTCTCTCCAATTTCAGTGAAAAGGAAAACATTAACAGTTAACCTAAAAAAATAAAATGCAAGGCCTCATGAATTTGCAACAGTATTTTAATTGGCACAGTTCAAGCAGTTAGTTACAAATTCATGATTGTGAGTGTGCAATTTCCAGAGAACCCTCACTGAAGGATATCATAAATCAGATATCTTAATCCATGTAAAATTACTTTTGGATCAATTCAATTTCTTATACTGTGCTATGAATCAACTAAAATTTACTATTCATATTGTGATTTATTCTTATTTTTGACAAACTCAAAATATAGAGAGTTTTGTTTGCTTTTTTAAACTAAAGATGTTCCATTATAAACAAATGTGTAACATATGCCAGAGAGTTAATTGAACAGCAAATGTTTAGTCACTTTTCAGTTTTGAAAGGTAACTACATAAACAAATTACTTGAAAAGTAAGCATTATTTTATATCAATGAGTCATTTATGTGGATCCCATTACAAATGTCCCTGAATCCCATACTGTGGAAACTTTGTAAAAAACAGTTCTTCTGACTGTGAGAGGGCTGCCTCACAGACAGGTTTCCAAGGGAGCTGACCTGAGGCTGTATTTTCTAGAAAGGTCTGTTTGGTGATACGATAAACCACAATATTGAAATGGCTAGAGCTCCTTTCCCTGGTAAAAACTTTAAGAGCTGTGAGCTACAGCATGAAACTTGAGCTTTCCAGTGTTTAAGAAAGGCATGATCTTGTGGTTCTAAACAAATGAAGCAAGAAAAGGGGCTGGGGAAGGGCCCTTTCTTATTTCAGATTTCCTGCTCTTTGTGGTAGCAGCAAAGTTTATTTTGCCACAAACAAGTCTGCTGAGGTTGGATGCACCTGGCTAAGCCCTAGTTTCATTCAGGGTCTGAATACTTGTCAGCACCATGGGTCCAATAATGATGGCTTTGCTAGGCTTTTCCCTTTAAAATATGACTCACAAGTGTTTAAAAGAAAAACATAATTCATGAGTTATTCATTTATTCTTCACCCCTCAAATGGGGTTTCTAAGAGTTATTTGATGTGTAAGGAATCAAACAATTCTTGTGTGATAAACGAAGGAGAAACGCTAACTGAGTAAGTTCCCATTCATTCTGAGTTCCAAGGTTAGAAAGGGTTCTATACTAGACTCAGGCTACATTTTGCTGTCTCTTGGTAATAGCTACTTTCCGCCCCAGTTATCCCAACCTTCTCAAGGACAGATCATGGAAAACATAAAGGACTATATCAGCTAACACAAGATCTCAATTATAAGACCATTGTAGGTTGGGTGGGGTAGGGACGATAGTCTAGTGGGAAGGATGGCAAGGGTAGGAGGTGAGAATGACTCAGCCCTTCCTCCATATTGCTTGTCTAGATAGTCATCTGGGCAACTTCTTCCTGTCTTTCAGTTTCAACTCAAAGGCACCCTTAACTCTTAAGACTTAGAGGGGCCTTCTATGCACTTACTCCACCTATTAATAATTGCACCTTTACTTGCCTATCTTCCTCCTTAGACTAGAAACTCCTTATTGGAATGCCTTTCTAGTAACCTTACTAGATATTATTCCTTCCCATAGAGTAGAGGTTCAAAAATTACTTACTGAATAATTGAATTAATACATAAATAGCAATTGGATTATAAAACCAGGGGAATGTAGGTTTTAGTGATACAGATTTTTTATCTAAGAGGTCCTGTTTGCCTTTTTGGGTCAAAGAATGGATGCCTTTGGGGCTTCTCCTTGCCTTTGGACTGTAGAGAAAAGTCCTAGAAGCTTTTGAGGTTTGTGGGAAATGAGATACGTATTTAGCTTTGGGGACAATTTTGGTTCTGGAGACGTAGTCAAGTGAGGAGGTAAAGTAACGAACTTAGACCCTTGGTTGATTCTACACAAAGGAGAAGAGAAACTGCAGACTTCCTTCTAGGATATCTAGTCCAGCTTGCCAAGATATTACAGAATGGCAAGCCAGGCAGTGCTGCTCACCAAGAATAAAAATTACGTGTAGTTTTTTTGTGTGTTATATCTCTTAGGGACCAGAATGTGCTGAAGAAATATAAAGTTAAAAATCCAACACCTTATATTAATGTTATATATGAAATCTGTTTGAAATTAGAATCTATGTTCTAAATGTATAGGTAAGGAGCTCAGTAATACTGTAATTTATATTCCTTTATATAATAGAAAAATAAATTTTCTATATACCACTGTTTTTAAGTAACTCAAAAGGGTACAAAAGCTGATATGTGTGCATGTGTGTTATGATAGACTTAGCAAATAAACTGCCTTAAGAAGCATAAACAAAAGATGAATTTTGAAATCACTTGAATCTCCTGCAAGAATCCAATGACAAAAGTCATATTTCAACACATGTCGTTCAGTTCTGAAAAGCCAGGATCACTGGCCATGTGTTAATTGATCAAACATGGTTGAATGACTAAGCTTCAGTCTGGAGGGAGAAAGCCATCAACAAAGTTTAGATATAAGCAAGCAATACTAGCCTTCTTCTATTTTTAGTTGGTATGTTTCATTAGATGAGATTTAAATGGCAAAATGTCTGACAAAGTACATAATAAAGAATGCATTATTAAAAAAGACTGAAAAATTATTCCTAAACTTTTGATTTGTGAATGCTTCATACTAAAACTTCCCTTACTCTTTTTATTCCAAAAGCATTGGAAACAAGGAATTTTCTTGGTGTCAAATTAAATTTTCTCCAGTCCTCCTTTAATTAAATATTTTCTTTTCCTTTCACACACCATATGCAGTGTTTTTTACATTTATAATTTCCCTGGAACTTGTTTTTCCCTTGTTTAATATTCTTTTTCTCAATATCTTCCCCCAAATTAAATTTCTCTCTCCTTTTCCTATTTTCCTTTCTTCTTTCTAATTTTTTATCTTCCTTCAGTCCAGACCTCAATTTCTTTTCTTCACTCTCTAAAAAAATATTAAAACAATCTCAGCTTCTTCAGCATTTTGTAAGACTGATTTTCAAAGATGCATATACTTAATGTAGCATTCTCTGCACTGTATGTGATAAATGGAAACAAGTAAATAAAGAATAACCTTTGGCCCTTGTAGTCCTTGAGGTCCAGGAGGTCCAGGGGGACCCTAAATCAAGAAAAAGCACAGTTTTTAAAAGCAGTAATTACATGTATTAAAATTCATGCCTTAAGTAATGGGCACACTATATACCTCCCTTATTTCTATTGTCATCAGATATCCCCAAACATAAATTTGCAATGAGGAAAAATTTCACTGGTTATATAATTAGAAAAAAACACCTATTTATATACTAAAATATTAACACATTTTAGGTCAAAATAATATGGAAGGTGCTTTTGGATAGATTTGATAAGGCAATGTAAAATTGCTACCGTGCTCCACATTCATTGTCTTGGGATGAATTAGCCTATAAATATTAGCTTTGTTTCCATATACACTCCTTGCCCCTCCACCCCAAAGGCTGTGATTTCCCAAATTATTCAGGTAAGGCCAGAGATTTTTAAGAAAATCAGCAATCACTTTTTTCTTGACTTTTGCACTAAGCAGACAAAATGATTCAACTGGAGCAAATGTAAAAGGTTATTAATAAAAGAAAACATAAAATTAAGTATCAGATGAAAACAATGTCTACATTAGTACCATTTTGGCTGGCATGCATCAACACCAAATACAAAACCACACACCACAGAAAGCATGCAATAGGAGTTACCGTGACAGTTAAGGTGGTAATCCTCTGTTGGGAAAATGTATTGATAAAGACAGAGTTATCTATTTTGTGTGCCACAGTAAAGTAATACATTGTGAAATAATCAACTTTTTAAATATGTTTTGGCTAGTCTGATATCTTATAAGGAGCTGACAAGATACTGAGGACATATTATCCTATCTTCAATACAGTATAGTTATAGAGATGTTTAAAAAATTATATCTAGAATCCTATTTAAAAAGTTTTTGGCTGAAGAAAAAGAAATGTCAAAATTTTAATTCACCTGATTGAAAAAATAATGCAGTAAAGTTGTAGATGCTACAGGCTTGTCAGTATAATTGTGAACTGAGAAATTTTGCTATTGATGAAAGCTCTATTCTAGATAGCACTTCATTAGAGAAAACTGAAAGACACAATTATATATTTTTTTTCTTTGAATCCGCAGCTCATTTGTTGCACTAAAATTAACTTTGTATATGTGTGTGTGACATGACTAAAGATATTAGTTGACATAGAATTAATCTAATTTCTTTTTTTTTGCATTCCAATATTTTTTGTGAATTTAATAAGAAAAATGAATTTTTTTCTTTTTATTTATTTATTATACTTAAATTCTGGGATACATGTGTAGAACGGGCAGATTTGTTATACAGGTATACATGTGCCATGGTGGTTTACTCATCCATCAACCTAATATCTACATTAGGTATTTCTCCTAAAGCTATCCCTACCCTTCTCCCCTAGCCCTGACATGCCCCAGTGCATGATGTTCCCCTTTCTGTGTCTCATTGTTCAACTCTCACTTATGACTGAGATGCCATGTTTGGTTTTCTGTTCCCTGTGTTAGCTTGCTGAGAATGATGGTTTCCAGCTTCATCCATGTCCCTGCAAAGGACATGAACTCATTCTTTTTTGTGGCTGCATAGTATTCCATGGTATATATGTGTCACATTTTCTTTATTCAGTCTATCACTGATGGGCATTTGGGTTGGTTCCAAGTCTTTGCTATTGTGAATAGTGCTGTAATAAAATATGTGTGTATGTCTTTATAGTAGACTGGTACCAAAACAGTTTTAAAGACCAATGGAATAGAACAGAGGCCTCAGAAATAATACCACACCATCTAAAACCATCTGATCTTTCACAAACCTGACAAAAACAAGCAATAGGGAAAGGATTCCCTATTTAATAAATGGTGTTGGGAAAACTGGCTAGTCATATGCTGAAAACTAAAATTGGACACCTTTTTTACACCTTATACAAAAGTTAACTCAAGATGGATTAAAGACTTAAAACATAAGATCTAAAACCATAAAAACCCTAGAAGAAAACCTAGGTAATACCATTCAGGACATAGGCATGGGCAAAGACTTCATGACTAAAACATCAAAAGTAATTGCAACAAAAGTCAAAATTGGTAAATAGGATCTTTAAACTAAAGAGCTTCTGCACAGCAAAAGAAACTATCATCAGAGTCAAGGAGCAACCTACCGAATGGGAGAAAAATTTTGCAATCTATCCATCAGACAAAGGGCTAATATCCAAAATCTACAAGGGACTTAAACAAATTTACAAGAAAAAAAAACCCCATCAAAAAGTGGGTGAAAGATATGAACAAACACTTTTCAAAAGAAGAGATTTATGCAGCCAACAAACATATGAAAAAAAGTTCATCATCACTGGTCATTAGAGAAATGCAAATCAAAACCACAATGAGATACCACCTCACACCAGTTAGAATGGTGATCATTAAAAAGTCAGGAAGCAACAGATGCTGGAGAGGATGTGGAGAAATAGGAATGCTTTTACAGTGTTGGTGGGAGTGTAAATTAGTTCAACCATTGTGGAAGACAGTGTGGTGATTCCTTTGATTCCTTAAGGATCTGGAAGTAGAAATACCATTTGACCTACCAATCCCATTACTGGGTACATACTCAAATAATTAATCTAATTTCAGTAACAAAACACACTGTCTTAAAAGTCTGAATCTCTGAAACATAATTCCTAATCCCATAAATCGTATTTTTGAATTAATGTTTTCTGGTCTAGGCTCTGTGCTGAAAGTTCTATGGGGTTGATAATCACTTTATGAAATCACAGAGGGGAGAACATTTTTTTTAGGAACTCTGGACATAGAGAAATATTATTCAATTACATTCAAACTCGTGGATATCAGTTGAACACCATTCTTCTGTTTTCCACTACTCCACTCCAATCTCTGATTTGAGCTGTTTTAACTGTGTTTTTTTTTTAAATTGTTGTAAAAATCTCCGCAAACTGGGGGCAAGGTTATAAGAAAAAAATAAGGCCCCAGAATTTTACACCACCATATCTGTGGAATATAACACTATTTACTTTATTCTTCAGGGATTCACCTAGAACAAGAATTGGATTTCTAATTACGAGAAAGCTACTTTTCTTTTGTTCCTACAGTGTAGATAAGTCATTTGAACAAGGCTATTAGAAATTTACAGAGTAAAAATAATATCTTTATCATTGCCTTCCAATTACATGCTACTTTTTAACTAGAAAACAGGGTCATAAAGCCCTAAAAAGGAAAGAGAGCTTCAGATCTGAGCTTTCTGAGATTTTCCAACATGTGCCATATATGAATTCATTTTTCACCTGAACATAATGCTAGTTTTTATTTTTTTTAAATTAAGGATAACATGTTTAATAATGAGCTGCAAAATAAAAGAATATTATTAATGGTAACTGACCTAACAGATGGAGTTTAAATGATTTTGTTAAATAAGTATACTTGTAAAACTTTAAAATTGTATAGTGTTCAATCCAGCTAATAGAAAAACAAATGACAAGCTGAGCAAACTTCACAAATACATAGTCTTGACCACCATCTGGAAGCACCAGTATGCAGACACACAGAGAAGTCCTCACGATTTTGGCTCACTGTGCATTTCTTATATGTGGCAAATCCAAGTTAAAGCTATATAAACTCAGCAGGGTTCTCTCTTAAACTCAAGTAATGATTTGAAAACCAGAATTTTTGGTAGTGATGGAAAAAGACATGCCATTCTCTGGTGAGATATGATGTGAAATGGGAGGCATGAACTATAGAAACTGCAAATTGGATAATCCCAGCAGCCTGCTTTGTGATTTATTCCCTGAAATGTTTATCTCAATCTCTTTAGAATTAAAGGTTATTTTCTCTCATTTCTCATAATGATGAAAGCTTAAACTCACCCATGATTCACACTAGAGAACAGGTTTAGTTTAGATGGTAATGAGAATTTTTTTAAAGAGTCAATTAGGAAAGAGAGGTTTTGCTACTAATTTGTGGAAATTTAACCACCTTAAATAAAAATAAATAGCTTATGGCAACGTTTATGTAAATAACAGTTTTCAATAGAGGCAACGATATAATTTTATATTTCTAATATGGTATGATTATAACTGTAATATGCTTCTATTTATCTGATCATCCTAGAATATTTTTGGCAGATTGTTTTAAAAGGGGTAATAATGACATAAAACCTGCAAAACTGTAAATATCCATCACTGGTTAGAGAATTAAAAGAATAAATGTCTACCATCTCTTCTCAATCTAATGTAACTAATTTTATTAGGGATCCAATTCACTAGAGCACTATGTTAGCACCAGTAGTTCTGATGTAAAAAAATAACTATAAGCTCTTTATAAGCATGGCATTTAGTTGAATAACAACCAACCCCTTAAGAATAATAAACCTTTAGGTTGAGACATAAGCATGAACTAGTTGACTAAGATGGATATTGACTGCTTTGCAGTCATACAGAACTAAAGATGAGAAAAAAGAGATATATCTTTTCATATCAAGATATGGGTGTCATATTTTTTAAAAAGTACAGTGCTTTTAGGCATATCAGTAAAAGGTGTTCAGAAGCTCTGAAAAATAACCCTAAGAATAGTATTAGGTTTCATGGACTCACAGAAAAAAAATTATTCCAATAACATCCTCATTTTGCAGATAAGATCAATGTATCTATAATATAGATACATTAAGCAATTTCCCCAAAATGACTCAGCTAATAGAGGGCTGAGTCATTTTGGAAATGAGATTTGGAATGAGATGGAAACAGAGATTTGCATTTTAGACTAAGGGTAGCTTGCCTCATGCCAGACCCAGCTCATGCAAAGAACGCTTTGAGCACTTGATCACAGTGTTGCAGAAAATGCCAATTATATTGGAGCAGTTCTTGGATAAGAAAGCAGCTACCTCTTAAAGGTGGTAGCAGGAATTATGGGGCCACTGGAAGTAGTCCAAGGGCAATTTACAACATTGCTAATAAATTAAGTTTTTAAAAACTTCCTATATTTTAGAAGAACTTTGAAAACATAGTAGGCACACCAAAACTTTGTGTTCTCTGTCTCTGTCTCCCTTTCTTTCCTTACATAGTTATCAACTTGTGGGGAAAAGGGAACAATTTAGAAAACTAGTTCTAGAACTTGACTGTAACCCAGAAGCTACTGCTTGTATCTAATCCAATTACACAGAGGAACACTAATTTAAGCTCTTGACTAAAGATACTGTCCAAGCAACATTTCTCCAAGCAGTAAACATGCTTTTCTTTGCATTTTACCAGAAGAAAAATAATGAAAAGGCCAAAAAATAGGCTGAGCTGAAGACAGATTAAAAAAAAAATGACTTAGTACTTTACTAGTTAAAAATGATAGTTGTAGCAAAAAACCTATAGAAGTAGAGATCTGTCATAATTAGATTGTGTTAGTAAAATCATAAAGATGGAAAAATAATTCAAACAGGTACAAAGTGGCAGAGAAATATTTAAAACAACGAATCTGGCTTACAAGCAAAGAATGGCTTGTATGAATTAAGTATACTTATTCAACTAGTAACTGTTTACTTAATATTTACATACCTAGACAATATAAGCATAAAATGTTTTTCTGTCGCCAAGCTTACAGTTTGGTAAGAGCTCAGACTAAAATCAACTATGGAGTTTGATTTTAAATGATAAACCACTGGACCTTCTCTACTAATGTTTAAAAAGATTAAGAGGAAGAACTCACCTGGGCAGCAGTAGTGAATTGTTGTGTAGAATTTATACGGGAAAGAAAGGAAAGAAGAAGGGGATGAACCCAGGCAAAAAGGAGGAGATTTGTATGGATATGATAAAAATGATTATGCCAGGAGAAACTGTGCTGTGGAGAAATGAAGAGTCCTACACAGGAAGGGCATGACTAGAGAGGCTTAAGTTGGAGAAGCTTGGGGTTGATAGAGTAAGCAACAGGGGGTCATTACGGTTTCTGAGCAAATCAGAGCTACCGAAGCCATGATCGTTTATAAAAATTAATCTTGGAGTGATACACAAGATGAATGAGAAGGACAAGGAGGCACTAGGGAAGGAGTCATTGGTCAGGGAGCTGTTGCTGTACTAGGCAGGAAGTAAACAGGATGTGGACTCAGTTGGGAATGGAAGGAACAGGCAATCTCAAGAGATACTTTGACAAAGAAAATAGCAGCCCCTTGGTGAGAGAGAATAAGTGAAGGACTAAGAATAGTTTAAAAATGGCCCTAAAGTTTCTATCCCCCAAAATTCAGATTCATATTATAACCAACAGAAACCAGTTACTTAAAAAAGGGACTCATTTGGTAGGTAGGAAAGGTATCCAGTATAATTGTATGAATTGATGGAAGTTGATAAGGCATTGACACATCCATAACGGGAATATTCTTGGACAGCTGGGGGAGTACACAGATTATATCTGGAGATGAAAGATTTGAGAGCCACAGTGTGGAAGGACACAGAGGGAGTGACTGTACCAAGAAAAGATCAGAGACTTGAGGATACCAAAACCTAGGGAATGGACAGAGAAATTAGAAACACAAAAATAAAGGCGATATGCCAAAGAAAAAAAAAAAAAAAAAAAAAAAAAAAAAGAAATAAAAATAGAAGGTCAGGGAGACCCAAAAAAAGTTTCAAAAGGAAAGTGGTTTGATATAAATATCACAAAAAAGTCAAGGGCGATGGGTCTAGTGGAGTTGACATATAGGTTATCATTGACCTCTGTAAAAGAAGTTGCAACAGAATGATGACAGAGGCTAGAATGCAGGAGTCTACACATGAAAAGAATTAATAGGAAGCAAAGGTGATAGAGACAAGCCAGACAGTCTATTGCTTACTTAATGAGAAGAAAATAATTATATGGTAACAATAATAAGAAATACAGAGGGCTTACTATATGCCATGCACTGCTCTAAGAGTATAGTATATATTGTGCCATTTGCTCTTCTCTCAACAACCCAATGAGGCAGATACTACTTCCACTCTCATTCTGTAGATGGGAAAACTGAGGCACAGAGAAGTGAAATCGCTTGTCCTACGTCACACATTTAGTAAGCAAGAGAGCTGAGATTTGAATGCAGTCAGCTCCAGCCCCAGAGGCACAGAGCTCTTGATTGCCTTGCCAAGCTCTCTCTGCAAGCAAGGAGGCAAAAATTGGGCACACACACACAAGGTTTATCCCTCATAAGGCTTAACTATATTTGAAGGTGGAAGGGAAAGGAAAAAAGGGATTAAAAATGCTATAAAATTCAGAAGATAAGCTGGGCCAGAGAGAAGGAGATGGGTTCTGGAGAACAGAAAGAAGGGGTGCCTTGAGCAGAGGAGTCCTCTGAGGTTAGAGGGTGTGGAAACTCATTTCCACACGTTACAAGGATGTTCTTCAGCATCCTTCTCAGTGTGTGTCAGGGCAGGGAGCAGCCACTTGCCTGTAAGGCTTCATGGAGGTTGCCGTTGTAGTCTATGATCTCAGTGGCTCCTTGATCTCCTTTTTGACCAGGTGGACCCTGTGACAAAAACCGACCAAGGGAACATCATGGGTGTTAGCTTGGCACATAAGGTGGACTGTAGCAGAAACAGAAATACCAACTCACAGCTCTCTCTGACCATCATTTCCCCACTGAGGCCCAACTGTACTTTATAATATATGAATAATTATGCTCAAAATTTATCCTTATTTCAAAGGAGGCAAACCACTTCTTACATCCTGTCTGTGGTAGGGTCAAGATAAGAAATCTGATTTTAAAAATACATACAATTTAATTTTTAAAACTATTTTCTGAAAATTACAATATAGGATAATCTGATGTGACCTGTAAAATTTTATTGGCTTTATTCATATTTATTAAAGCATCCTCTAACCTTTTGTTCCTCATCTATACCTTATACAGTGCTTCCTCTTTTTTTTTTTTTTTTTGAGGCAGAGTCTCACTCTGTCACCCGGGCTAGAGTACAGTGGCACAATCTCGACTCACTGCAACCTCCGCCTCCTGGGTTCAAGCAATTCTCCTGCCTCGGCCTCCCAGGTAGCTGGGATTACAGGCATGCACCACCACGCCCAGCTCATTTTTATATCTTTAGTAGAGATGGGGTTTCACCATGTTGGCCAGACTGGTCTTGAACTCCTGACCTCAGGTGATCCCTCACCTCAGCCTTCCAAAGTGCTAGGATTACAGGTCTGAGCCACTGTGCCCGGCCCTCATTCTTTAAAAAGATAGAACATTGTTCTGCAGAAAAATGCTTGGCTTTCCCATCAGGAATGAATGCCACAAAATTTAAACCAAATAGAGATCAAACAATAGAATACATGTATATTTTTAAGACTGCTACCCTACTTATTAGATCTGCTACTTAATTTCCATTAGTCATGTCCTAATTCCCTGACTTTTTTTTTTTTAAAGACTGTGAATATAAGGGTTATTGCTTTCTTTATAATTGAGTTAATTGAAAAGTGGAAAATTCCAGTAGCTAGATGGGTATGGGCTCGTTTAACAGCGGGAAAGGAGATAGGGAGAGTTCTTAAGACCTATTCAAATAAGCTTATTTTATATATTGGAATCCCTACACTCACTGATCCTAGTGAGGAAAATAAAGGAGGTAGGGGTGTTTCAGGAATAATTACAGTAGTCTGCTTCTAATACTATTATTGAATATTATTAATACAGATGTCATAAGAATAGCCATGCAGACACAAATTCAAATCTGGGCTTGTAGGGAGCAAAAGTTTAGATGGATGAGAGGAACACTCACCCTTGGTCCCTGAGCTCCAGTGTCCCCTTTGTCTCCACGATCCCCCTTTTCCCGTTGGAAAGAGAAAAAACTTAATTAGAAGTGGGGAAGTCTAGAAGTGGGGAAGTCTAGAAATCTCTCATCTAAGAATGTATTTACACCATACAGCAGCACCTTTAATATGAACTTCTGAAGTGAAAAACAATAGCAGCCACCACCAAAATGGCAAATGCTTTTTAAAGATGCAGGTTGAAAATAATTAAAATTCCTTTTTAAAAAAAGACTCCCTTTTCAGGCAATACAGTATCTTGAAATAACAATATATATGGTAACGGTCCCACGAGGTAGGATCTGCAAAAGCAAAACAATGGTTTCTACGGAACCCAAAGTAAGCTTTTACCTTGCAGATTGAGCCACATTCTTTCTTTAACATCAAGAGACTTAGGGCAAAGGGAAAAAGAGCCAACAATTGTGTTGTCTGTCCTCTGAGAAGAAAAGTATAGATAATTGGGACAGGAAAGGAGTAGACAGGTCATTCTAGGGAGAATTAGGAAAGGAAGGTCACAGGCTAGGCCTCCCTCTGATGCTGGGGATCTAGGGAAAAGTTCATCTGTTGGTATAGGCATTTTAACACTCAGACTGTGCTGAAGTGGACAGCAGCCAGCTGGAACAGGTTGGCAGGGCTGAAGGTCAAGGGCAGGGCAAACCCAGCTCTCTCTCTTTTTTCCAGTGCAATATGAAATTTATCTGAAGTTTCATTGATGGTGGCATTACCTCAACTGTAGAGACGGCAGGAATAGTCTAAGCCCACAAAATTCTTAGAAATGTAAACTGAAACTTTGGAGAAGAGATTTGAACCTGTATAGATTTAAAGGTTCTTTAAAACCACCTTAAGTTTATGGGTCCTTTTTCTGTATAAACTTCAAAGCATTTTTATACATCTTTCTACAGATTCCTATAAACCAGGTAAGGATGAATGAAGATAAGCAGGAAAATGGATTATAATTTTTCCCATCTGCGTTATGCTAATAACATTGATCATAATAAATTTGCCATGAATGAAGTATTAATAATCTTTGCTCTCTGTATTCTTCATCTTGCACACATTTTTTCCATAATAGTAGCTAATGGCATTTTAAATAACATGATTCTGCTGACAGTATATATGTTATTGCAGATAGAATAAGGAGTATGATATAGAAGAGAATTTCAATTGGCAGTAAAATTTTAATGCAACAAAGGGAGTTAACTAAAAAGCAGAGTATAATCTGAGCATTTATCACAAAGATAGCTGGGAAATAAAAAATAAGATTATATAATACATAATTTAAGGAAAGTTCTTATTTTTTTTCTAAGAAGCTATTTCTATGAAATAGGAAATGCAACTTCTCTTAAAGAATCTTCTGAAGCAGAAGACTATGCAAAAACAAGCCAGATGAAAGAAACCCATTGTTTTGAAATATCATCATAGAGATACTGCAATCCCTTTTGCAATAATTATTGCAATCCCACTGTATGAAAGAGTTTAATTAAAAACATGAAAAACACGCCTCTGTGGCAAATGCAAAAAGCATGGATGTTGAAGGCCTCATGTTATATTTAAATGGTTATCTGGTTACTGACCTTTGACCCCTTTGGGCCTCTAGTTCCTGATTCACCTTGTTTCCCCTATTACAGGAGAATAAGAGGGTGAAAAAGATAAAATGATAGAGGAGATAAGAACAGAAAAAAAGAAATTAGCAGTGACTCAGAATAACGAAGAAAAATGGAAACACTTTATTTTAACTGCCTCAATATATGTCTCTACAGAATGTCGTTTATTATAATACTAAACATAAATATCATCGCTATCTCATCGGTTCATTCCATGATTATTCTGAAGGCTGCCCTCCCATCAGTGGATGAGAAGAGCTCTGTGAATAATTCTCAATAGTCTCAACAGTGTTTGCCTGCATCAATTTCCTTTTCACCAGAGAGTAAATCTTTTCCTGTGTCTCCAGGATGGGCTATTAAAATAAAGTGTGACCACGTTAGTTTTCAGGAAGTTTAAATGAATAATGTTGAGCAGTCAAATAAATCCTTAGCTCTAATATTTTCAAGGTGTTACACTCCATCAAGTCACCATAGAAACTAATACAGCACTTATCGACAGAGATTTTTTCCTAAGTTTTAATACACATTGAGTGATAATGTGTTAATATAACAGCACTTCTACATTTGGATAGGCTATCAATTTGCTCACTGAACAGAGTAAACAGAGTAAGATGAATTGTAAAATCTCTTTTGAAAAGAATCAATTGGTGTGCATTTCAACAAACTATTTGTGATTGAGCTGTTTATATTTGAATATAAAATTTTTTATTAACTTTATATATCATGGCATTAACAATACTCATAATTACTGATGAATGTAAATGGCCATTATTTATTAAGTACCCTTCTATAAATTCGGATTTTAGCATCTAAGAGGAGCTAGTAATTTGCTTAGGTCACATAGCTACAAAGTGGCTAAGCTAGGATTGGACTCAGGTTCAACTTGCTCTCTATGGTTTCCCTTTGCTTGGAAGACAATCCCAAGACTACCATGGCTTACAGGGAAGTGGATGGTCAAGCCTGTTTATCCCTGTGACTTCATTACTAACCTCTGGCCCTCACTCAATTTTCCAACCATACTGGCTTCCATGTTGTTACTCTAATGTGCCAGTCTCTTTTTTTTTTTTTTGAGACAGAGTTTCACTCTTGTTGCCCAGGCTGAAGTACAATGGCATGATCTTGGCTCACTGCAACCTCTGCCTCCCAGGTTCAAGCAATTCTCCTGCCTTAGCCTCCCAAGTAGCTAGGATTACAGGCATGTGCCACCATGCCCGGCTAATTTTGCGTTTTTAGTAGAAATGTGGTTTCTCCATGTTGGTCAGGCTGGTCTCAAACTCCTGATCTCAGGTGATCCACCTGCCTTGGCTTCCCAAAGTGCTGGGATTACAGGTGTGAGCCAATGTGCCTTGTTGTTTTAGTTTTTTGTGTTCTAAATCAAATCAAACCAGAGAATGGTTATTTTCCAGTGTAAGAATAACTGACCTTTGGTCCGGGGACTCCAGGTTCCCCTCGCTCACCTCTTCCAGGAGGCCCTGCTTCTCCCCGTTCACCCTGTCACAAATTACAAAACACATCAATGGCCATTCCCCCCACATAGGCTGGTCCCTGTAGATTAACAAGTGAGTTGAGTGAAACAAGAAAACAGAATGTTTTCACTGATTTACCCTGTACCAAGCACTGTATTAACCTCTTACATGAATTATCATCTCATTTTATAATAAAAACAATTCATGATGGGGCTAATTTTAGGTGTCAAGTTGACTGGATTAAGGGACATGTAGAAAGATAATAAATCATTGCTTCTGGGTGTGTCTGTGAAAGTGTTAGTGGAGAACACTGGCAGTTGAGTCTGTTGACTGGGTGAGGAAGATCTACTTTCGATGTGAGGGGGTGCCATCAAATCTGCCAGGGGCCCAGATAGAACAGGAAAGGCAAACTCTTTGGGGCTGAGACCCTTCCTCTCCTGTCCTTGGACATCAGAACACCAGGTTCTCTGGCCTTTGGATTTTGGGACTTGCACCAGTGGCCCCCAGGCTTTCACGCCTTCAGCCTCAGACTGAAAGTTACACTATCTGCCTCCCTGGACATGAGGTCTTCAGACTTGGACTGAGCCGTACTACCGTCAACTCAGGGTCTCCCCCAGCTTGCAGATAGCCGGTTGTGGGACTTCTCAGCCTCCATAATTGCGTAAGCCAATTCCCCTAATAAATTCCCTCTCATCTAGCTATTTCCTTATATAAATATCCTATTGGTTCTGTCTCTCTGGAGAACCTTGACTAATATGCAATTATTCAATGTTTGTATTATCATCCCCATTTTATGGATAAGGAAATGGTTGGGTAAATGCCTGTCAAATAGCTATGTTGGCAAATAGAAAGACCTTTAAAGGGAATTGATAAGGACCATTATTATACCTCAAGATAGGAAGGGATATCCATTTTCATTCTGCAGTCACTTTTTAAGCACTACTGGCAAGAAGCACGGCAAAGGGGTTAAGTTCCTGGCTCTGTAATCCAGCATCTTAGGTTTACTCCTGGCTCTGCCATTGACCAATTCTGTGTTCTAAGGTAAGTTAGTTAGGTTCTATACACCTCAGTTTCCTCTGTAAAATGGCTAAAGTTATAGATAGTACTCATCTCATAACTTAGAATGTAAAAGTGTTCAGAATGGTGCTAGCCACACAGGTTTTACAGTTTTTTAATATGGTCATCTCTCCGTGAAGTATAAATACGACTACTGTCCTCAAGGAGCTAGTGATCTACTTAGGCAGACAGGAACCCCAAAACCAAAACGGTTAAGGATTAAGGAGTAATGTAAAGCCATACGTGACAAAAGGGGAATCCCCACTGGTTTCTATTGTTGTGGGTTGGATCCCTGGAGGTGAGACTTGAGTCGTGTCCTGAAGGATGAGTAGGGTTTATTTCATAATTATTGCTGTTGATGACTGTAGCATGGATGAGTGCAGGAATGGCACAAAACATGTTATATGCATTATCCTATTTAATCCTCAGGACAAATGAGAAAAGTCTTCTTATCCATATTCTACAGATGAGGAAGCCAAAGTTTGCAGAGGTTAAGTAAATTGCTCAAAGTCACAAAGCTTTTAAAGTGGGTAAAACTGATTGTACTTGATCTTCAACTTTTGCATAAATGTTTTTAAATGTAAATCTTTTGCACATCTTTGATCATTCTCTCAGGATAAATTCCTAGTTGGAAAATTGCTAGGTCAAAAAGTATGAATATTTTTTAAAACTTGCTAAATTGCCCTCCAGGAAGATGGTACCTTTTTATACTCCCTAAACACAGAGTAAAGAGTGTCTGGCTTCTTGCATAAGGGGTAGAATTTCAATAGTCAAACATTTAGAATTCAGACTGTTGATGGCATATTTATGGATGAAAGAGGTGCTCTCCTCACTGAAGGAACCACTTCATTTTGGAAAGGATAAGAAAATAGAATTGGATCTGTGGTGAGTCATGTAGGGCTTTACATTTCAAGATCCTTATCTGTATCATGCCCACTTGAGGAAGGCTTTGTGGTTTTGTAGGGGAGGTGGGATAGGTTAGCCAAGGGCTAAGAAAGGCAGGAGGCAAGAGTTAAGACTCGGTAGGTTTCTCAACAGCAACTTAAGAGGTTGTAAAAATAGAGAGGCTGGGAGAAAGACAAGGGACCTCTCTAGATACAGAAGACAGACACAATGGGCCAGAAACAGAAGGGCTTTCTGCTTTTTTTCATCTCCCACCCTATCACCCTGTTGAGTGAGACTAAGAAGCTTCTGTTGGTATATGAAAGTTATTAAAAAACTGTAAATTATTTGGCATTTCTTTTAATAATTTAAGAATTACAGAATAATTATAAAGCAGTCCACTATGAAAAATAAAAACCCTTAAAAATCATTTATCTGTAGTTTGCACAGGAGCGACGTCTATACGTCTTTACTTTTAACATTTATATATTTTTAGAGAGGGGATCTTGCCATGTTGCCCAGGATGGAGTACAGTGGCTATTCACAGGCAGTATCATAGCACACTGTAGCCTCAAACTCCTGGGCTCAAGTAGTCTTCCAGCCTCAGCCTCCTGAGTAGGAAGGGGGACAGGTGTGCACACCACACTCAGCTAGAATCACTTTTTGTTACAATGTCCCTAATTAGTTCCCTGTCATCCTCTGAAATTAAATTATTTATTTGTTTACTTCTTTCCCTCCTTCCATCTCTTCCTCATTCACACTGGAATGAAAGCTTCAGGAAAATAGACACTGTTGCTGTTGCATTTACTTCCCATGCTCATATACAGAAAAATATTTGGTAAAAACATTGGCAAATTAATGAATAAACAGTATTAGTGAAAGTATTCTAAAATATCTGACTATAGCCTCATTTCTTTTCTTCTTTCTTCTTCTTCTTCTTTTTTTTTATTGTGAGGTAGGGTCTTTATTTTTTTAATTTATTTTACTTTTGGTGCATATTATATCTGGCGAGATAGGGTCTTACTCTGTCACTCAGACTGGAGTGCAGTGGTGTGAGCTCTGTTCACTGCAACCTTTGCCTCCCAAGCTCAGGTGATCCTTCCACCTCAGCCTCCTAAGTAGCTGGGACTACAGACATGTGCCACCATGTCCAGCTAATGTTTGTATTTTTAGTAGAGATGGAGTATTGCCATGTTGCCAGGGCTGGTCTCAAACTTCTGGGCTCAAGCAATCCGCCTGCCTCAGCCTCCCAAAGGGCTGGACAGGCATGAATCACCATGCCCAGCATCCCCATTTCCTTAGACTGATACAGGTCCCCCTCAGGTACTAATGTAGGTAGAAAAGATGCAGCATTTTTTAATGCCATTACATATCTTTATTCATTATGAGTTTCTCTTCACTGTGTTGGGAATAAGAAACATAGTCCCATGAGTTGTTACTTTATAAATCTGAATTTAGTGGTACAAATCCAGACTGCCTACACTAGTGGAAGAGTGGTGTTGAACTGAAAGAGACTTTTAAAATAATCATGACTTTCCCATTATGATACTGAACCAACCGTGACATTTATACTTAACATATGTAGATTCAACACAAATTAGATGTTCAAATAATATTGGTGTGTGTATATGTGTGCACGTGCATGCTGCTGTTTTAACGCCTGAGTTAAGATAGGTAATTCAGCTGACAACCTCAAAATAATGTTAGTAAAATGAATTTCCTATCCATATCCCTTCTGTGGAAATACAAAATAGGTACAGTATACTCTTTACTTTTATTTGGGGTTCAGGGTAGTATCTGTTATAAGAGTCTCTGGTCTATAAAATCATGCTAGGTTCTTCATAACAGTAATTAATGTTGATTTTATGGCTCTACATCTGGATCTTTTTCTGAAACTGCAGAATAGTTTAAAATCAGGTAACTAAAGAAAAGATATTTAGGAATGAACTCTATTCTCTCTTGCTTGTGTTTTTTCTATTTTCTCTTGTACAGCAAACAAAATGCCACGTTTTCGATCCAGTTCACTCCTGGCTCTCTCCTTCCCTGACCAGGTCTCCCTTTCTTTGTGTATCATGCCCAACTGCGAGGCTGCCTTTTTGCCTCCTCTGGCTCTGAGGCTACAAACCTGAATAAATACAACAGCTCTCATATTAATAGGGAATGCTCATTATTTTCTTGCTCTCACTCTTTTTATTCCAGAAAGACATTTCTTGTGTGAATCTGTGCAGGCTAAAATAGGCATTCCTCATATTTTGTTAATAAGCCTGAAGGCTCACTATGTGAAGAAATTTCTTAAGAAAAACAATTTTGCATAATCCGATGGCGTTTCAGTCCCCCCCTCACAGGACATACACAGTTTCCATTTACTAGGTTTAAGAGTTATTTTCACTTGACCAGCAGAAATGAGGATGCTTCTGTCAGAACAGACCATGAACATACTTCTGCAACTCTTGGAAATCATCCCTGGATTATTTCTGTTGAATGCAATACACATTGAGGCAAAGACCGCTATGGTTTAAAAATAAAAGAATGTAGTTTGATGTAATTTTGCCCCTTCTTTGATTCATGAGTCTGTCATGAATAAAGTTCCACCATCAGAGCTGCACTTTTTATGTCTTTCATGGTAGATGAAAAGAGAACTCTGGGTCTGACTATATTCATAGCAGCATTTTTTTTTTATATGGCAGCATATAGAGTTTGCTTTTAGAGCCCTCTCTAGGGTTGCCAAGTAGAAGATAATGAGATGGTTTTCATTATAGAGTATTTTCACAGACGTTATTCAGGGTAGATCCTTTTGGGATGAGGCACTTAGGAATCTATATGACATCAGTTCTTGCCTTTGAAATCTAGGAAGTAATGGGAAGCATAACCTTTGATTTACAAGTATATCCTGAAATTGGTGACGAGGAGCAGGAGTTAATAAGTTCTATCTCCACTCCTCAAAATTCCTCTACCTTTCCATATAGCCAGGAGGTTAACAGTATCCTATTAGTTTAGGAGCAATCTGGGGGACAAGTGGAACAACTAATATATTCTACCATCCTGTTGTCTTGTCTAAGGCTTTTTAGAAGTAACTTTTCACTACTCAATATTGAACATAGTGGTTCCATTAGAAGTGTTAGTAATGAGTGGGTTAAGCTGCTTTCATTCTCGATTAGGCAAAAATATCTGGTCACCTAAATTATGGAGTTACCCCACATTTCTTTCAATATAGTGGACTAAATATATATGACAAAAAATTCAGAAAGAAAGAAGAAGGAAGGAAGGAAGGGAGGGAAGGAAAGAAGAAAAGAGAAAGAGAGATAAGAGAAAGAACAAAGGAAGGAATGAAGGAAGGAAGGGAGGGGGAGAGAGAGAGAGGAAAAGAAGAGAGAAAGAGAAGAAAGAAAGAAAGAAAGAAGAAAGAAAGAGAGAGGAAAGAGAAAGGAAGGGGGGAGGAAGGAAAGAAGGGAGAGAAGGAAGGGGGGAGGGAAAGAAGTGGGGAGGGAGGGCAGGAAGGAAAAAAGGAAGGAGGGAGGGAGGGAGGAAGGCAGGCCAGCCACTTACTTTTGTTCCCGGTAAACCTGGTAAGCCTGGTTCTCCTTGAGGACCAATGAAACCTGGTTCTCCCTTTAAAAACATGGGCATATGAGATTGTTAATCATTTGATAATAAATAAATAAAGCTAAACTCATTTTCTTCTACTGAGATTTCACTTCCTTGATTGTATATAGCTTTCTTGCTGAGATCTAGCTACTGACTATAAAATTAATCAAAACTGGTTTTGATCAGTGAAGACACTTTGAGCAAAACTTTGGAGCAGCTTTAAAAAGTAAATGTGACTAAGTAATCAGATAAATGTCCTTCCAATTTCCTTTCTAATCTGTTGTCCAGTGTTTCTTACCACTTACCAAAACAAGCTGCATTATGTTTGGGTGACTGTGGCAGGTAGCCTCTAAAATGGGCCTTGATAATCTCACCCCTGTCGCTCATGCCCTTGTGTAATCCTCTCCCCGCGAGTGTAGACTGGATTTGCTGACTCACACCTAATAAACAGATGGCAGAAGTGATGGGGTATCACTTCTGAACCTAAGTTGTGAAAAGCCTGTGGCTTCCATGTTGGGGGCCCTTTCTTGTTCTAACTTGGATCACATGTTGTGAGGACTGAGGTCTGCCAGCAAGCACACGTGTGAGCTTGGGAGCAAGTACCTCACCCTTATGGAGTCCTCAGATGAGACCACAGGCCTGGCTGACGGCTTTAGCCATCTCATGGGAGACTGAGCCCGAAGCACCTAGTTATGCTGTGCTTGAATTCCTGTCCCTCAGAAACAATAAGATAATCAATGTTTCGTTTTTTTGGTTGTTGTCGTTTTGTTTTGTTTTTTGTCGTTGAGACAGAGTCTCGCTCTATTGCTCAGGCTGGAGTGCAGTGGTGCAATCTCGGCTCACCACAACCTCCAACTCCTGGCTTCAAGCCATTCTGCCTCAGCCTCCTGAGTAGCTGGGATTACAGGTGCCCAACACCATGCTTGGCTAATTTTTGTATTTTTAGTAGAGATGGGGTTTCACCATGTTGGCCAGGCTGCTCTTGAACTTCTGACTTCAGGTGATCAACAACCTCGGCCTCCCAAAGTGCTGGGATTACAGGCATGAGCCACCACATCTGGCTGACGTTTGTTGTTTCATGCCACTAAGTTTTAAGGGTATTATGGTAGGCAGCAATAGATAACTGATGCAATGAATGTTGTTAGGGAAGAGATTTGGGAATGTTCAGCATGAAAAGAAAACTCTCTCTCCTGGTCATACCTCCAAAACCTTGTCTCTACTACTTAGAGGAAACTCAGTAGTAAACTAAAAATATATTTGGTCTTGGTCCCCAATTCCTGGCACCAACCTCCTAAAATGGAATTTTCTGAGTGATAGGAATGAGAAGGAGCATCTTTTGTTATTCAAACCAGTTCCTTTCGACCATACCTGAGTCTATATCACTGAGGTTACTCTTATGGGTGCCCTAGACAGCTTCAGGAAAGGAACTGGTTGCCAGAGGGCGCAACGGTATAAAAGTGTGGGAACTTTCTGCCCTATCTCCCAGCCTCTGGGGAGGGGACAGGGTCTGTAGATGAGTTCAGCCACCAATGGCCAATGATTTAATCAATTATGCCTACATAATGCAACTTCCATCAAATCCCCTAAACAACAGGGACTGGAAAGCTTCTGAGTCATTGAGCACATCCATGCGCTGGGAGGGTGGAATGTATCAACTCCACGGAGACAGGGAATCTTGTGCTCTGTTCTCTTATGGACCTCGCCCTATGTACTTCTTCATCTGGCTGTTCATTTTTATTAACTGTAATAGTATATAGCATCTTCCTGATTTCTGTGAGTTGCTGTAGCAAATATCAGTCCTGAGTCAGAGAGGGTATGCAAACCACTGAATCTATAGCTGAGTTAGAAGTACAGGTAACCTGGGGCTCAACATCTGTGGCTAGTGACCAAAACAAGGTCACTCTTATAAGACTGAGCCCTGCCGGGTGCAGTGGCTCACGCCTGTAATCCCAACGCTTTGGGAGGCTGAGGCGGGTGGATCATCTGAGACTGGGAGTTCGAGACCTGCCTGACCAACATGATGAAACCCTGTCTCTAAAAAAAAAAAAAAAAAGACTGAGCCCTTAAATCTGTGGAGTCTGATACCAACCAGGGGAGTTAGTGCCAGAATAGGATTGAATTGTAGGACACCCAATTGGTGTCAGAGAACCAGAGGGGTAGAGAATTAGTGTTGGAAAATACACCACATATTTGGTGTTGGAAAATACTTGAGATCAGTGTTCACATTATCTTGACTATCCATAAAATTTTATTTTCTTTTTAAACTATTTGAGGTCAAATATAAGAGTTTGACTACCCAAAATCTATAAGAAAATTTTAATGCAAAAACCATAATGACCTTGTTCTCAGTTCCTGTTTTTTCCCCTCTTGGATTATTTCTGAAGCAGTTGTTAATATTTTTAAAATATATTTGATTTCTTTCTAAGGCAGCAGTATTTCAACCTTTGTTTCATACTTGGAACTGAGCAGGAATGTATAGAGAAAATGTTTTATAAGACATGATAAAATGTTGGACTGGGCACAGTGGTTTACACCTATAATCCCAGTACTTTGGGTGGCTGAGGTGGGAGGATCACTTGAGTCCAAGAGGTTGAGACCAGCCTCGGCAACATAGGGAGACTCCAGCTCTACGAAAAATATAAAAAATTTGCCAGGTGTGATGGTGCGAGCCTGTAGTCTCAGCTACTTAGGAGACTAAGGCAGGAGGATTGTTTGAGCCTGGGAGGTTAAGGCTGCAATGAGCCGAGATCATGCCACTGCACTCCAACATGGTTGACAGAGCATGACCAAAGAAACAAAACAAAAATTTATACTAAAATGTCATCAAATATTTTTCACACAAGTCAATTTTTAAAATATACTATAAAAAACCTTGGGTATTGGACAGGGAACAAAAGGATATCACCACCATCAGACATATTTTGATATGTAACTCATATATTTTTATCTCTAGCTCTGGTGCTCATGAGACTGATCTAAGAAAAAAAAGGCAGCAGTGGGGAACTAATGCTTTAGGTTTACTGCTTGCACATTTTCTGTAACTCCCTAATCTACCTGTCCCATACTCTTACACCTATTAGAAAGAAGAATCTGAAAACATAATTTTAGGTGGATCTCTTAATGGTCTAAAATGAAAATCTGAACTATATTCAGAGAAATCAATGGCGATTATTCTACCTCTAGTAAAAGAGTTTAACTTAAACAAAAACCTTGTAAGGAATACATTTGTTTACATGTAAAATATTTCCCCTAACAAAATGATATATACAAATAAATATTTCCTCTCCATCCCAAGAGGAATGCTGTGTTAAAGTCAACACGTATCATTGGTAACAACTTACTGTCAGGGAAATGTAATGCAAGTTAATAAGTTGAAAGTTTACAGGGAGACAAGAACTCTTGCATATATTCAAGTGAAAATAACATCATCTCACTCTTTAGCAAAACACATAGATGCACCATTAAAGCACACTAATAAAAGAGAAGAACAAATAAATGTTGCAAAAACATGTTTCTTATATAGGTTAGTGTTTAGTTTATAAAAAGATGAAGCATGCAGGTACATAGTTCACAAGCAAATAGATAAGGCTTTGTGATCTCAGCTGCCAGGTAAAAGTGTTTTTTAAGTAGAAGATATATTATGTCCTTTAGTAAGTGTATAGAAAGTTCTTTTTTTTTTTAATGTGCTGGCTGAAAGCATCAATAGTTCTTTTAAACAGAAAATTCACGGGAAGAAGTTTGTTTCTAGATACAAAATTAGCAATGCATTTGACAATCTCAGTGATTTTAGCACAATTTATATTGATTAGCTAATTTTAAAGGCTTTGAGTATGAGAAGTTATACCTGATCATGCCACTGTAAGGATGTATCTGCTATATTTATACATTCTGGTACACTTCTTATTTCAATTCATTCACATACTTAATTTTAGGATCACGGTTTTTGTCTATTTACTTCCAGAGGTCTGAGTCACTTTAGAAATATTATCTCCATTCTCTCTATATCTTAGCAGGATGGGGAGGAGTTAATTATTGGTCTCTTTTCTCTCTCTCAGCTTCAGAAACAATTGTTGAAATAATTAAGGCATGGATATGCTGACTCATGGTCTTCAGCTAGTTGGGCTATTTCTTCCTTCCCGGAGTTTAACCAGAGGTTCTCAAAGTGTGCTCTGGGGACCTCTGGAGATTTCTGGACCTTTTCAGGGAGTGTTTAAGGTCAAACTATTTTTACAATAACACAAAGACATTATTTGCCTTTTTACTTTTATTCCTTCACGAGTACACGGAGTATGAAAAGTTCAATAGGCCAGGCGTGGTGGCTCATGTCTGGAAACCCAGCACTTTGGGAGGCCAAGGCAAGCAAATCACTTGAGGTCAGGAGTTTCAGACCAGCCTGGCCAACATGGTAAAACCCCATCTCTACTAAAAGGACAAAAACTAGTCGAGCGTGGTGGTGTGCACCTGTAATTCTAGCTACTTGGGAGGCTGAGGCAGGAGAATCACTTCAACCTGGGAGGCAGCAGTTACAGTGAGCTAAGATTGTACTACTGCACTCCAGCACAGGCAACAGAGGGAGACTGTCTCAAGTAAACAACAAACAAAAAGAAAAGTTTATTATATGGTTCTAGATTTCGCATTGCACCTAACCTTTAAGAAACTACCACTTGTGGGGTTTAGGATAATAGCAAAGAAAAACAACAACAATTCTCTGAATAGGCTAACCTTCCCCTGTCCAATTACATGTTTGCATGAGGCCAGTTTTTATGCACATACTTCAACCAAAACAACAAATTGAATGTAGAAGCAGATATGAGAATCCAGTTGCCTCCTATTAAGTCAGGCATTAAAGAGATTTGCTATATACATATCTCCCTCTCTCTCTCTATGTGTGTGTGTGTGTGTGTGTGTGTGTGTGTGTGTGTGTGTGTGTGTAATGAAACCATAATGACCTTGTATACACACAGACACACATAATCACATCTCACAATGCCATTTTTCCTGCTCTTTTTAAAAATCTTGTCTTA